ATACCGACTACGCCGATCTGTTGCTTTGACATTGTTTACTCCTGTCAGGGGGGAGATTAATAATCTGAATATACAAATAATGAATGCGCATGACTAAAATAAATACAGCTTGAAATTACAGTTCCTCAAAAACAATAGAATTAGGCAAAAACCTCTTGTAACGATGCAAAGATTGTATAATATTATCTTCATCTATGTCATAAAGAAAATCGTCTTTAGTTTCACCAACTTTAAATGCCCCAAATCTTTCATGAAATTTGCAAACCGATTTATTCCCTTTTCTCACATCGAAATGGGCGGATTTAAATCCACGCATCAACGCGTATTGGTATATTATAAGAGCCGACTCAATCGAGGCATTAGAATGTGCCTTGTCGCTGAGTATCCATGACCCCCAACAAAACGATAATCCCTGCAAATCATATATCCTTACAGTCCCAATATCCTCCCCTCTCTTGTTTTTTATAATAAAGTAGGCCTGTTTGTTATCGCGGCTATATGTAGCAAGCCATTTTCTTTGGTCCTCTAAAACCGTACTTGTTTTTGATAAAAATCTTGACTTAGAGATATTTGTACGTAACGAAAGAATAAATTCGGCATCATTTTCACAAGCATTAACCAAGTCAATAGTATAACCATAGATTATTTTTGCTTTAATTTTCATGAGTATCCCTAATAAGATAATAATCTAATTTATTGGACCATATTTCCCGCGAATAAAACTTAGAACCCCCCGCGTAGCATATTTTAATCTTAACACCTTATTATCAAAGAAAAAAGGAATAAGAATAAAATATTTTATCCCAAGTTTGAAAATCTGCGATATCTTCCAAGGGAAAGGGGTATATTCACGAATGCACATATTAAGCACATTCCTAAATTGATAATAATGTCTGATAGGTGCGCCATAACCAGCATTTATTATATTTAACCTCCCAGTACCAAGTTGATGTGTTAATATGGCCTTTTGAGACAGTACTATTTGCACGCCCTTTGATATCGCGCGCCAGCCCCATTCAAAATCAACACAGTCAATAAATAATTTTTCATCGTGTAAACCAACTAAATCAAAGTGGCTTTTATTTATCAAAGTGCCCGAACTTGTAACATCACGGCAATTATATATGAAATCAAAAAGTTTCTTATCATATTTTGCTAAAGAGTTTCCTTTTGCATCACAAGGATTTGCACATATTACAGGCAAACATTTAATATTTTCAGTAACAAAACCCCTAACTATTAAAAGCGAACTAATCATAGTCGGATGAGGAAGACTATCATCATCAAGAAGCAATATGTCCTCATAGCCCATGTTTAATCCTAATTTAATACCATCATTCTGTGCTTTTGCTATACCTACATTGCCGCCCATTGATATATATTTAACTGAATGAATCTCGCATAATTCTTGTATTCTTTCACGTGTGTTCTGTTCTGTTGAATTATCAGACACTATTATATCAGCATCAATACATACTATATTAAAAATTGTTTTCAACTTCTGCAAATCAGAATTATACGTAACAATCACAGCTAGAACACTCATTACCCAATCCTTTTACGAGATAATGTTGAAAGAACTAATAATAAAAATAACAGCATATATATGTCAACGATATACGCTAACCCAACAGATGGATTAAGCATTAAAGGTAATGAGCGACAATATAACGCAGATACAAAAGCAACAATTACAGTCGGCGCATGATAGCAAGAATATTTTAATTTATTAAGCGAACCTAAAACCACGCCTATAACAATAGAAAAAATCACGCCACCTATATAACCAAAATAAACAAGCCCCGCTATATCGAAATGTGCAGTGGGACCACGCATTATATCATCATCCGGGTACCAATATAGCCATATTTGGCGACCAATATCTCCATTTGAGAAATCTTGCCCAAATAATCGGCTCATAAATGAATTTCCAAAAACATTGGAAAAAAACTGAAGCACAGGGAAATTGATATTTATATCATCAAGAACCCGCTGGGTAAGAGATAAATAGTAGGAATCCCCATTCGCCAAGATGCGCAATATAAAAAGTTCTAATGTAACAGGCGCACCTGGAATATATTGCGAATTCTGGTAGCCTATTCCATCTGATAATTTTTGCAACATAAATAAAATAAATAAAAATAACGCAACCAAAAATACACCAGCCAGCACTATAGTTTTCAAATGTAATTTAATTTTTATCCTTTCC